ACACACACATGAGACGTGACTGTGGGAGTGTGCGAGGGCCTCAGGTAAACGACAAAAAAACATTGAAAATCACATATTCACTCGTTCATATTTCTCGTGAAGGGTCCGCCACCTGTTTCTCTCCATGGAGCTGTTATGACTTTATCTGGAATGTTTCACAGTATGGCATTAAACCTTTCAATCTTTCTTATCTTCATGGAGACTAAAACCACAAAACCAGACCAAGTTACAGGTCAGATCTGTGGAGAGGCGACCCCGCTCACAGTCACAATGTTGTTTTTCGAGGTATTTTTGAGCTCTAAAACCACCTGTAATTAAATAAATGTAAAGTAGAGCTGTTTAATGTCACACTGTGGAACATTCCAGACAGAGCAGTGACATCTCCATAGAAACAAGCAGGTGATGGACCTCCAACCCAATACATTACCTGCTCATTTAAGGTTTTCTTTTCTTTTTTTAGTTGCTATTAGAGCTGTTATCATTCAGAAGTTGTCAATACGATACACACCTCGATACAGTGAGCATTCAATTTGATTCAATATATTTCAAATTGATTCAACACAGTTCAATAAAAATATAGTTTAAATCATGACTGCGACACTAAAAGTCTTTGTTAAACCACTTCTTGTGCAAAGTTCATATGAAACACAAACAGTTAAAATGTCAAATGTGTCACATAAACAAATTTCCTTCCACTAAACAAACAACAAAACCGTAGCACTGTGACAAAAAAATGAGTGAAATATATCAAAAAATATTCTTGGTGATATATTGATACAGCAGCCCACAATATTGATATTGTAATGTCACATTCAACGAAATAATAAATACATATTTCAGTATTTTTGTACACCCCTAAGTTGCCACTGTAAATAGTTTTCATTTTATCACCACATAATGACGTCACAAGGTGGAATATTTTTCCAATAAAAAGCCAGATTTTGTAAATCAGCTAAAAGTGCATAGTGTAACTTTTCTGGAATGTTTCACAGTATGGCATTAAACCTTTCTATCTTCATGGAGACCAAACCAGACCAAGTTACAGGTCAGATCTGTGGAGAGGCGACGCCACTCACAGTCACAATGTTGTTTTTCGAGGTATTTTTGAGCTATAAAACCACCTGCATTGAGTAAATGTAAAGTTTAATGCCACACTGTGGAACATTCCAGGCAGAGCAATGACATCTCCAGAGAAACAAGCAGGTGATGGACCCCAACCAAAAAAAATAAAAAATCACCTTTAGCGCACTTATTATTCTCATCGTGTTATCAGAATCAGTTTTAAGAATATAAAAGTCTCTTCTTCAGTTTAAAATCAAGGTTGAAGTTTCATTCTCAGATGTTTACTGGAGAATTTTATTGGTTTGTTGGTGGGACTCTGATGACATCACGACGTGCCTGATGCCAAATATGGGCGTGGGTGGTGTGACTGTTGCTGATCCGAGTTTGTGTGTTTCCGATGACATCACAACATGTTTAATACAGATGGAGATACAACTGAAAAGACTCCAGTTAAAAAGAGATCTCTGTGATAATGGAGCACAGGAGGATCTTGTTTCTTTCATTCACAAATGTCTGAGTAACTCGTTATTATTAGTCAGTCTATATCTTCAAAGCTCCAAATGCCAAATTCCAGTTTGTGATGTCATGAAGTGGTAGTTGTCAAGTCAACAGCTCCTTTTACCTTTAGTTCAGTAGATTGTCAATTCCAGGGCTGAAATGATCCAAATGATTCTAGTAAAGGTGTGTGGAGTTTAAAAACACAGTGGAGCACTTCCTGTATTACCACATGACATCACAATGTGGAATAAAGTCTTGGGTTTCTTTAGTTTTTTTTTCTGTTTGAGAAAAGAACTCCATCTCACTAGCACAAGGTTCCCACTTTTTTCACTGACAAACTTTCAAAACTTTTCCATGACTTTTTTAGGACCTGACATGATGTTTTTGAATTTATTGTCGTCTCTTTTAAACAAAAGGTGCAGACGTTCAGAAATAATCCAAACAGACTCATGAGAACTTAACAGAACACTGGAGTTGTGTAAGAGATACTAAAATTCTGTGACTTTTTCAAAACTTTCATCAAGTTTACAAAATTCCATGACTTTTCCAGGATTTCCATGACCATTTGAACCCTGACCACATGACATCACAAGGTGGAACAGAGTGTTTTCTGTCTGAGAGAAGAACTCAGTCTAAATGTGCAGGTTTGTGTGTTAAACATGTGAATGAAACAAAACACAACTCCAGGTGTGTTTGTGATGAAGAAACGACATTAGAACATGAATCAATAAATCGTGTATTATGGGAGCTTTAAATCATGTGGTGATACAGGAAGTGCTCCACTGTGTTTTTAAACTCCACACACCTTCACTAGAACAGGGCTCCCACTCTTTTTCACTGACAAAATTTCAAAACTTTGTGAAGTGAATTTTCCATGACTTGACAGTGTAGAATTGATCAGAGTTTTAGGGCTAAATCTAAATGTGAACTCTTTCCACTCTCCTTATGGTTTGGGATTAGTTTTTGAACAATCAAAATCCTGTCAGTGCATTTATTGTCGTCTCTTTTAAACAAAAGGTGCAGACGTTAAATAAAATAATCAGAATAGTGTCATGAGAACAGAACACTGGAGCTACATCAAAGAGATACTAAAACTCCATGACTTTTCCAGGCGTGGAAAATGACATTTTCAGTTTCCATGACTTTTCCAGGATGTCTGTGACTGTAGGAACCCTGACTATATGACAAGGTCCCAAGGTGGAACAGAGTGTTTTCTGTTTGAGAAGAAGAACTCAGCAATGTACAGGGGCTGTTCGTGTATTATGGGACCTTTAAAGAACGTGGTGATACAGGAAGTGCTCCACTGTGTTTTTAAACTCCACACACCTTCACTAGAACAGGGTTCCCACTCTTTTTCACTGACAAAATTCAAAAATTTTTCTAATTTTTTCCATGACTTTTTCATGACCTAAAGTGAATTTTCCATGACTTCACAGCACCTACATGTGTAGAATTGATCAGACTTTTAGATCTAAATCTGAAACGTGAACTCTTTCCACTCTCCTCATGGTTTGAGATTATAATTTTTTAACATTCAAAATCCTGTCAGTGCATTTATTGTCGTCTCTTTTAAACAAAAGGTGCAGATGTTCACAAATAATCAAAATAGTCTCATGAAAACTTAACAGAACACTGGAGTTGTGTAAGAGACACAAAAATTCCATGACTTTTCCAACATTTTCACTGAATTTACAAAAAACTTTTCCAGGCCTGGAAAATGACATTTTCAGTTTCCATGACTTTTTCAGGATTTCCGTGACTGTAGAACCCTGACCACATGAGTGTTTTCTGTTTGAGAAGAAGAACTCAGCATAAATGTACAGGGGTTGTTGGTGTATTATGGGACCTTTAAAGAACGTGGTGATACAGGAAGTGCTCCACTGTGTTTTTAAACTCCACACACCTTCACTAGAATCATTTGGATCATTTCAGTCCTAGAATTGCTGATCTTTACTGAACTAAAGGTAAAATGTAGCAGTTCACTTGAAAACTACAGCTTCATGACATGAGCGTTTTGAGCTTTGGAGATGTAGACAGACTAATAATAAACATTACTCAAACATGAATGAAACAAAACACAAGTTCAGGTGTGTTTTTGAGGAGGGATCAACATTAAAACATGACCTAAAGCTCACAGGAGTCAGTGTTGCGTCGTGTTGGACCTTTAAACTCTCTTAATCCAAATGAAAGCCACTTCATTTAGTCCAACACAATAGGAAAAAAGCTGCTACTTTACTCTTTAAGCGATCTTATCTGTCCACATTTGGTATAACGAGCTATTAATACGCTCATTGATTATGGGGGGCCGAGGGGAGATGAAAAGACGAGAGGAGGAAAAGAGGAGAGGAAGAGGAGGAGGAGGAGGGGTGAAGGAGGCAGCAGCAGATTGTGGAGTGTGACAATGGACTAAGCTGCTCTAAAGAAAGGGTTAAGAGCCAGGGGAGCGAGAGGAGAGGGGGAGAGGGCGGAGGAGAGGAGGAGGAGGAGGCGGTGGTAGGTCCCTTGAAGTAGGAACCATGGAGAGTGAGGGGGAAGGGAGGAGGAGGAGGGGGAAGGATTTGGGCAGAGCGCAGGGACACGGGAGCGCCATATGGGTGAGCCAGAGCTGCTTCAGCCCGGACACAACACAGACGAGAGAGAAAGAGGGAGACGCCTGCCAAACGATGAAGGACAGAGATGGAGAGAACGAGGAGGAACGTGAAGAAGGCAGAGAGAAAGAAAGAGGGAGAAAGGGACAGAAGAGAAATGGAGGAAGACAAAAAGAGAAGGACATATGGATAGAATAGAATAAAGTGGTATGTAAGTGAGGGATGGAGAGAGAGGGTAGAAGAAAGAGAGAAAAAGGGGCAGGTGAGAAAGGGAGAGAAAGAGAGAGGGAAAGAATATGAAAGAAAAAAAAACAGAGAGAGAGAATGGGAGGTGAAGGGATGGAGAGAGCCAAACCATAAAGCAGCGGTCGCCAACCTTTTTTATACCACGGACCGGTTTAATGTCAGAGAATATTTTCACGGAGCGCCCTTTAAGGTGTGGAGGATAAATACGACAAAATAAAATGACACGACCAACACAAAAACTGTGGTCTTTTGTAAATATAGTAATAAACGTTTCCAAAGACGTGTGTTTTTTCTTCATTTTGCAGTTTGTGGGTTTAATATTAGTGTTAATGTGTCACGTGACTGAAACACACATCTCGACATGCACCAAGAGGGAGTCAAGAGTCACTCACAGACGGAGATAACAGAGAGAATTTGGTCATTTTTCAAAATAAAACATTGTTCAAACTCGGATAAGAAATAAAACAGAAATAATGTAAGTTCTAATTCTGTCTGTGTGGCCCAGTACCAAACGACCCACAGACCAG